GGGGGGGGGGGTGTTTGGACCAATACGACTTGATTAAATGCTACATTTTTTACACAAAAAAAAACACAGTTCAGTTAAATGATGAAAATAAATGTACATGGGCTAAAGATGTCACCCCATTGTTGTACATGTTTGTTAGGTACGTTCTCAATTGTCTACGTCATTAACCTCTGCTCCTGGACTAAACTGAATGGAATGCCATGTACAAATCCCTGCCACCCTCTTTTTCCCTTGTTCTGGTGTTGATTCGATTTTCCACTGAATCTATTAAGGTGTACTCAGATCTGGCTTCTTGTCCAAAGGAAGCTAATCACAATAGTGCATGCACAGAGGAAAGAAAAAAAAACACAATTCACGTAGATTTAATATTTCTTACCAAAATAGAGTTATAAAATTTGACGATGCTCAAAATAGTTTAAGTACAATCCAATTAGTCAAGTGTGTGGCATAAGGTAATTAATGAAGTAATTAATAATGGAAACAAAAATTGGATGATTGGGTCTAGATGACCTAATCACTGAAGGCGACAATGTTGGCTGGAGCACTATATTAAAAAGAGAATATAAGGTAGTAGAAGAGAGAAATAGTGAGAATATGCTTGAGGTATATTGTGTGTATTCTTGTGAGGTGTTTGTAATTTATAGGCGCAGAACATTAGATGAGGCATGAAGGTCAAGCTACTAAATATTCCGGGAAGGATAACTACAATTATGGATAGGTACTATCTTGGAGTCATGGCTATCTGGTGATTGTTCTTTCACGTGCGTTGACCCTTCTTGGGCTCTTGAGTTTTGGACTAAATTGAAGCCATGAACTAGGCTTGGATGATTTGGGCTTACCCTACGGGCTAGGCCCAAGTCTAGTTGGATCTGGGCTCATCATTTGCACCCCATGTCCCAAGCCCTTGTGGTGACACAGGGTTGAGGGCATGAGTGAGTTCCTTCATTTGGGCAGATGAAGTATCTTGCTTTACACGGCTCCTTCAGCTCTCCACCTCATTCTATTTTTGAACCTTCTTTCCTCATTTGGTAACACCATGGTTGGACAACCATTGTACTATTATCCAATCTCATTTGCTGGGTCTTCCATTAGGTTTAAAGATATTCCATCCTTTCACATCAAAACCCCCTTTTCCATTTAGGGCATTATTCTTAGGGCTTTAAAGGTTAGTTAGGTATAGACCCTTAGCCACCTCCATTCCATCTCCTTCATTAGAAGTTTTCTTTTGAGACTAGGACCTAAAACTCTCCATCCCATAAGCAATTGAGAGAAGCTGAAACAAAAGTAGCATGAAGGCCACTAGAAGGACGATGAAAAGGGGCACCATGGGTGGCTCCACGGGGGAAACCATAGTAGGATCTCCGGTGAGATCAGGCAAAAAACCTAGGCGACGCAGTGGAGGGCACTGATGATGTTGCTGGCATAGGCGTTGGTGATGTCGTTGGCATAGGTGCTGGTGGCAACGTCAGGGAGCTGGCTAACGTCGGGGAATGGGCAGAATGCTGACTCTGACGCGCTGAGTAACGAATGTAGAGTCATGGGCTTTTCTAGGGAGAAAGTGCATGATGCTTTTCAATTGAGGCAATCCTACTCGCCCCTTGATTCTTTCATTATTTTTGCCCCCCTTCCATTTTGATGTTGGATCTAATTATAGCAGACGCCTATTCTGACAAAGGCATGATGAGGAATAATATATAGGATTCACAGCGAGGCAAAGGTACTATTGATAGTGATGGCTCGAAGGTAATCTCTATTTTTAGTTTCATAGATTGTGACAATGATATTGCTAGCATTGTGTCCTCATTGCAAATCCTTTCCGCTGTTTTGTGTTGCTGGGCCGAGAAAGATGAGTCGACGTGTTACGATTCGTTTGGAGATATTTTTTTCTATAAGGATGTTGTAGAGGCAAGATTGGGTTTTTCCATACCTAGATCTATTCCCAGGTTCTAGGCCACATGTCGTTTGCCCCGGGGAGGTTGAATTCAAATGGTTGGAGGATACTTTTGGCGTTCTTTTCATTATGGCGACTGATTCATGGTGAGGATGTTTCTCCCCCTTTCGAGGAGTTCCTGCCATCATATGTGCTCTTGGAGAACCCTACCCCTCATCAGGGATGGAACCACTTTGCTCTAAGGTCGGGCAAGTTGATCACTAGACTACCATCGAACTGTTATAATTGGAAGTCTAGGTTTTTCTTTGTTGGAGGAGAGTGGGCTGCCGAGGAGGACCATGACTTAGTGCCTTCGAGATGGGATACTCTTCTGAAGACAAAGCTAGGTATGAGTTTTACCCTTGCTTTTCATGCCTAATTTTCGTATCTCTCTTGTATTCATCACATGTTTGGTTCCTTTGTAGCTTTACCCACATTATCGGCGGAGTAGGAGAGTAAGCTTCAAGCTGTGAGGGACCATCCGACCAAGCTATGTTTGAGTCGGGGCACTCCAGAGCCTCCCCTAGACAAAAGAAAAAAGGTATTTAGTTCTTTGGATAAATTTGATAACATTTGTAAATTCTCTCTTATCCAAGTTTCGTAGGTACTATTTGTGACGCCCCTAAAATCGGTGGTCCCGTGTTAACCCGTTGATCACCCATCAACCCGCGAAAATACCTGTGAATGCTGCATGACCCGACACCATGACTCAATAATAAAAGGGTTTAGACAGGGCCTCCCTAGGATCGAGAACTCCCAATTGCTTAATCTGTGTACATTATAGTCACTAGGCCCATCCAAGGTCTAACACATCACAATTTATACTCCATTATGGTCTATTGACATCATTTGAATGAGGGAACACATAGTACAAAAGCATGGCAAAATATTCTTAAAATTTCAGATTTTTGAAAAACCTTTTGGAAGGTTTTGCCTGCTGGATAAAAATTTACATTAACCTTCCGGAAGGTTTTCATAGATCTTCCAGAAGGTTTTGCCTGCTGAATAAAAATTTACATTAACCTTCCGAAAGTATTCTTCTACAAATCCTTCTTTCTTCATTTCCAACCCATTCCAATCCGTTCCACATCCATCCAAAACCAATCCAAACATGCATAATGGAGTTTTCTACATTAAACCACACTTATACAAGTTCATTACAAACGATTTCATATATTTACATGTCAAAAATCTATTTTCCACAATTGTTTTACAAAAACCCAAATTAAAAGCCACACTCCGGCTTTCTTCATCCTTGAGGCCCCGAGTGAGAGCTTTCCGCCAATGTACCACCCGCACTTGAAATATTTTCTCGTATAGGGTGAGCCAACCTAAGTTCATATGAATGTACACATGCAACAATCCACAATTATATAACCATGTAATCATCCAATCAAGAATATATGTATTTCATGTGGAATTTACCATGTTATGCCATGAATGAAATGAGATTCACTCTCGCATTTTAACCCCGAGCCTTTTCCGGCTCCTCAACACATGCAAATGCCAATGTATATAAAATCGAGCCCTTCTAACTCCCGCCATTTATATTATCCTTTAAAATCTCCGGGTCTTTATTTGGGGTGGATATTTATGGACTTACACCAACGACACCTAACCAACACGGAATTCATGGACTTCCACCAACGATTCCGCTTATACCGACACACTTCATGAGCTCTTATACCAACGGAGTGTATATCCAATCACCGGGCCTCTCACCTGAGGGATAGTCTAGCCCTTCTTCTTACCCCGATCCAATTTTTCTTTCATGCATTCATGAGACTCAATCGAATCTTTAGTCCAACTTTTTCAAGCCCACTCATCAATCACCAAATATGGTGTTTGATTCAACCATGCACCCACACACCCACACTCATGCTTATGGATGTGTTTCCCCCGTGCACATGCAATGTAGTGCACCATTGCAATATCCATGTTATGCTTTATATGTAATGAGTGCCAATTGAGCAATTTAACCACATATCTCCACATATGTCATGACAATCTATAGCAATTGCATATAATTACCACAGATTAACATGATACTAATATATTAACAATATATAGCAATTCATTCATCCTCAACAAATTTTACAAGCTTGTTATACATAATCCATGCTATAACAACTTAATTTCCACTGAGGCAAATAGCAAAATACCTTAAAGCACAATTCATGTTATCACACAAGAGTTTCCACCTCATTCAAAAGGCATAATATAAAACATATAGTATGCCCAAAATATCAAGTTCCAAGGAAATCACACAAGTAATTTCCTATGCCAACATAACTAGGAATTGGTCTAGGCCAAATTCCATACCCATTTCCTCATTTTCATAACCATAGTCAAGTGACCTAGGTTATTCTATACCCTTACCCCATTCATAATACGCCCTAGGTAATAAAGTGAACCAAAAGAGGAGAAACCCTATCTCTTGAAGCGTGATACAAGTGTTAGACGCCTCAAGAACACAAAACCACCTCCAAATCTTTGATTTCTCCAAAATTCTCCCCTTGGATCTTCAGTGAAATTATTCGTTCTTGGTACGAATGCATAGCCCTCATCGCATAGACCAACTTTAAGTCTTGGTCCGACGGATTCTGACTGACGGAGCTCCTTGGATTGTCAAGAGAAATGTAGAATTTTGAGTTTTTCTCTCTTTTCTCTCTTCTCTCACTTCCAACATCTGAATACAGCTGAATAGGGGTGAGAATATCTGATTTTTCAGATATTTAGCCTTATTTATAATTCTTAATTGCGCGGTCCACATCGCCGTACACATTTACTACTTCCATATATGTTTTTTGCCCTGAAATGATTCATTTTAATCCAGTTTAAGTCCAAATTAATTTTATTTAAACCTTTATTCAATTAAGGTCCGAAGGCTTGGCAAAGTTATTTTAAATTTTAAAAATTTTGGAGGAGCTACCGATAGCTCGTGTATGTGCTATCGGTAGCTGAGCCCTTTGCCAACAAGCTCTCAGTGCAAATTTTTGGAGGAGCTACCGGTAGCTAGTGAACATGCTACCGGTAACTGAGTCATCTGGAATTTTGCTACTAGTAGGTCAAGACTTGTTACCGGTAGATGAACCCAATTTTTCTCCAATTCAATCCTTTTTCAATTTTAACTCGCCCAATCTCATACAACTTTCACCCAAACTCATATAACATCAAATTTTACATAAAATATAGTTCATATGAGTTCATTTACAATCTTTTATACAACGTTACATATCCAAAATCAATTACACAATTGTTTTACAAAAAATGTAATCTAAAGCCATAACTCGGCTTTCTTCATCAATGAGGGCCCAAGTGAGAGCCGTCCACCGGCGCTTGTCCTGCACCTGAAATATTGTCCCCATAAAGGGTGGGCCACACTCAATATGACATCTTCTAAAGAGGCTACTCCCCAATCTAGATGCATATGAAATGTTCACATGTAATTCAACAATCAAACAAGCATGTATCCAAGAACATACAACTTCATGAATGAATGTCATAATGTCATGCCATGTTATGAGGTGAGGCTCACACACACAATGCAACGCGAGCTTTCACCGATTTTCATAACACATGCAATGTCATGCGTATGAATCCGGGTATTCCAAGCCCCCACCATTAATGTTACACATCCAATGACCATTTATAAATCATGGGTCTTTCTTGGGGTGGGTATTTATGGATTTTCACCAACGGGCATCCAATAGACACGACATTTATGGACTTACACCAACGGCTCCGCATACGCCGATACACTTTATGGACTGAACACCAACGGAGTGCATATTCAAATCACTAGATCTTGCACCCGAGGGACAATCTAGCCCTTCTTGCTAACCCTAACCCAATTTTCAATGCAACCCGTGCGACTCAGTCAAATCTTGATACAACTCTCCCGAGCCCACACATCATCCACCAAGAATGATGTTTGATCAAAACCATGTACACACCCACATCCATGTCACATGCCCACGAATGTGATACTTCCCGTGCATATGTAATGTAATGTATAATTGCATTTCATATCATTATGCAACCAAGATTTTAATTGCAATGTCAATATCATGTTCAACATGTCATGAGCACAATAAGAACAAATTTTAAATCCTCAATGTATCTTATATCATAAAGCATACAATTACATTCCAATCATCATCACAAAGCATGTAATATCAATTTCATTCAAATAACATACTTAATCAATCATAGGCATTTTATCAAACACCCAAAAGGCACAAAATCATGTAAACACATAATCATGTCCAATTTATCACATTCTCATGAAGTTTTCAAACAAACAAATTCTACAAACCAAATTCATGCAAGATTGGTTTAGCACATTTCTATACCCATTTCTCATACTCTAGTTACACTAGGAATACATCAAACTAGAGAATTCATTCATAAATCAAACTACCCATTTCATATGCAACTCTAGGTTGAAAATAAATCTAACTAGGAGAAGAACCCTACCTCTTGAAGTGTAATGACGAGTGGTAGAAACTCCCAAGAACCTAAATCAAGCTTCAACCCTTGATTTTAAAAAATCTTGTTCTTGAGACTTCGGTGAAATCCCTGATTTTTGGTATGTAGATGTTGCTCTTGTTGAGTAGATCAACTTTAGTTCTTGGCCCGAATCAATTTAACGAGCGGTTGGCTGTAGATCATAGACAGAAGCTTGAAACCCCCTTGATTTCCCT